CTTTTGCAAGATTTTTGAGTTTGGCTTCCCCCACACCTGCTCTACGTGTATATTGGGGATCCCCCCCCCCTGTTCTGAACTTAACTTTTCTTAACTCTTCTTCTTTCAGACGTTGCATTACCAGACTAGGGAGCACCAGTGTTCTCCCCTGGGAAGTGGGGTTTGGTGACTGTTTTTATAGGTAGCACAGTTTACCCCACCGGCTTTGTGGCAGGATATCCATTCTCTTATATGTGCGCGCGTGTAGGGTGTGTGTGCATTTTATTCGATGTATAAAGCCGCCCAGTCGCAACGCGTGTGTGCACCCGTGTCGGTTTCACTAGTTTACAGAATCCGAGGACCTCCAAACCCCCCATCCCCACTTTAGTTCGGCTCAAGTAATTGTCAGACTTCGGAAGCAATGGGTGTTCCGTGCGCGCATCTGTAGCGTTCGGAAAAAGCGCTCCAAGACGGAAGAATCGGGGCGGGAAAGGAAGGAGCCGCTAATCACGCGAATCTTCCTCGCCCCGAAGAATGGGGGTTAGCAACCCAGGGCCCAAGTGGCCTTACCTGCCAGTGGAGAAGGACCCGTTTATGAACCTTGTAGAAATAGGGGAGAAGAGGCGTTTAGTTAACTCTCCCGTTTGTTTCCCCACACCATTCGTCAGCAACAATTCTCACGACCTTCTTTGCAAACCTCTGTTCGGGTTTTAGAAAGTGGCGGCGGCGGGGAGGAATCGGCGGTCGCTGGCTGGCCTGGTTGGAAATCGGAAGAAAAACGTCTTCTCTCTCCAAAACCACTTTGCCTCGCTCCCACGATTTCTGGTTCTATTTTTTTGACTTCGCTGACTTCTGCGTAACCCTTGTTTAAATTTGGTCCGGCTTCTTGGGTAGAAGAAGAAGCCGTTTTACCCTCCGGTTTAATTTTTGGCAGATGCACCCATTTTTTTTTTAGTCGAATTCGGCCAGGCGGGCGCAAAGGTGGGGAGAAGACTAAGAACATCGGGAAAGCGGATCGGGACCCGGCGGCTTCAAGTCTCAAGGGACGCCCCCGAAGCCGCTTCGCCCCTTCCTCCTCCTCAATTGCGCCTAGCAAAGGGGATCAGTCCCTCTCCAGGTAAATACACCGGTATACACCGGTATTTTGCGCGACCCCGATCTTCGAATCGCTTACTTATCTCTGATGGCAGAAAAAAATGTTTTATTTTTATTTTTTATATTATTATTATTATTATTATTATTATTATACAATTGTATCACAGCGGCCAGTTGTTTCGCCGGATTTGGCATTGGTTACTAGTCGGGCCCCACCCAGGGGCCTAGGACGTCGTAACGTTATTATTATTATTATTATTATTATTATTATTATTATTATTATTATTATTATTATTA